AATGCAATGCCATTTTTCTTCCAAAAGAATTCCATTCCAGCATTTCCTCTTGTGTTTTTCTTTCTCTCTCTTTTTTAATTGCATGCAGTGCATGATAATTTCTTTTCTTTCATGACATGGCTTAGCCTCACAGACAGCTGAATGTTGTCACCACTTACTTGGAAACCTTGGGGAATACTTGAGTTACCAGCATCTGATCTTGATACTTTCTTTTCTTTCTCCGATTTTAGCTGTGACAGTTGAAAAAGCAAGTCCAATGGGTGAAGGAAATTTCCGGAATCGTTCTGCTCCACCTTGTGCAAATTCTACAGTTGGGGTTGTTAAGATGACACCTCTTTCTTTCATTCCCGGAGCGAAAATAACTAAATATCTTGGGATAATTAACATGTTTTTCATTCGAGAAACCACTTCTCTACGTGAGGTAATTTTATAGATGTTATTTCATTTTTGTGAATTTTCTCTAATGGAAGATGTTAGTGACAAAACCAAACAAGTTTCAAATTTTTATTTTTTGCCAAAAGTAACACATGTACACATCTTTTTTTTTCAATAAACTATCTGGATTGATTCCAGATTAGACTTAGCAAATTTCATATAGTAGCTAGTTTTATCACAAGAGTTGTGTTGGGTTTAAACTTGTTTACTGTTAGAATTTCCAGATCCTTATCATGTGGTAAATAAAACAAATTTATCCATGTTTGATTAGAGATTTAAAACAGCATTGTAAGAACAGCTTAGTTTTCTGAGTAGTCATCTACTATACATTTTTAAATAGCAATTTTTAAGGGATTACATTTCGAAATAGTAGGGAACTATATTGTAGATGTATGTCTATGGGAATGGTTGATATAATTTAGCTCAATTGTTTCTTCCTTCTGAAAAAGAATGAGGCTGCTCATTTTCTTCTACTTTCTCCATCACTGTATGGGAATGCCATTTATTCAAATTCTTGCCTCACACTGTGTATCATTAAACTTTAATTTGTATTTTAAGTAACAACTTATAACATTTTATTTGATGTGCTCAAAGTTAATCAGAGTCAGGCTATTAATATATCTTTCATTACATAGGAATTTAAACTCAAGAAAAAAATTATATTATGTCTTATGGAACAAGGCTGCTGAGCAAAGTAATATTATGAATAGGGAAATTTTTTAATGATCGAGGTGTGAAACTTGATAAACTGTTCAAATTTTATTTTAGCAGTAGTTTATATTTTTTAAAAGTATGTTCACTTAGCTATGCTTTTTTCCCACTGTTTCACCAGCACTGTTTTTATACTTTCTTAGAAATAATAGCCCACATACTATTTTTTATATCTTGCATATAGCACAATGCCAGGCATGTGTAAATATAAGACATTTTTTTGTGTGTAAATAAGTAAATGACTTGACAGATTAATTAGATGGGTGTTTAAGAAAAATTAACTTTTTAGTCATTCTAATTGTATTGAGATGGAAATGAAACTATCTTGATATTTTCATTAATCTTTTAATGTAGAATTAAAATAAATGACACTTCTAAGTCCATCTAAGTTTGACAAAGAAAGTTGGGTGTGAGAGGCTGGCATACATTGTTGAATGAACTTTTTCTAGTTGCTCTTAATAGCCCAGGGATAGTGCACTCTTTTTGAATCCATAAAATTTTATTTCCAAAATGCCTTTCTCTACTGTTTAAGCAACCATATATTAAAATGTTGCTTCACATTAGGTTTTTCCTTCAACAGAGATTTGTAGTATTGACTGTATGGATAAATATCCAAAATTTTTTCATTGCTTAATAATTTGCTTAATGAATAATTTTTAAAATTATCCCTCTGTAGTCTCTGTTACTCAGCCATCAGAATTTCTTGATTTAAAAAGCAGGAGTGAAACTAATAAAAGTAAAAGAAAAAAATGCACTAAGCTCTGATGGGAGACAGGCTGAAATGACTCACTTAACTCCTTAATTACAAAAAGAGATACCTTTACAAAATTACACATTGGGTCCTCTGGCTGTTCAGAAAGATGTGACCTAGTCAAGTGTTTTTCTAACAGTGCATTCAGTTTGCCCTTAACTTTCAGTTTAAAGTTGGAAATTTCTTCTTAGACTGTAAATGACCTCCATTATAATTTATGGAAAACTTCAGTTGAAATACATTTTAAGCAATCTGCTAGCCTTTGTTTTCTGTGCTTTCTATTTTTGAACAATGAAGTTCAAAACTACTGGATTTCATTCCCTAGCAATGCTTAGTATGAACACCTTTTGAGCTAGATGTTAGCATATAGTTGTGAACAAAACAGATGCAGTCCCTGACTTGATGGATTTTACAGTCTAGTGGAACTGGAGCATGGTAGACATTAAACAAATAATTGTGTAACTAATATATAACTACTAGTGATAGTAAGTCAAAGAAATATAACAGAGGCTATCAGAATATAATGGAGGAACTCGCTTTAGTTTAGACAGTCAGGGAAGTCCCATGTCAGCCAGGACCTGAAGAATTGAATGAGTTATCCTGGTAGAAAATTGGGTGAGGTGCCTTCAGGAACAGCATGTATAAAAGTTCCTGAGGCAAAAAAGTGGTTGACCCCTTTGAGAAACTGATAGTAGGCAAGGATGGCTGGAACATGGTTCAGAACGGGAGATATGGATAGCAGGGAGGCTTTATTGTTCATATTTACCATCAATTTAGTTGAATAATGGTAGGAATGATTTGATAGGGGGAGATACTGAAGATGGAGGAACAATTTGAATTCTTGCTCTGCCATTTGCTTACTAGCCATGTGATCATAGCTAGTCATGGGCATATTACAAATTCTTTGAGCTTCAATTTCATCATCTGTAAAATAAGGAAATTCCTGTCATAGACATGTGTTCAGTAAAGGTTTATTTGTTTATGCTGTAAATTCCCATTATGAAGGACATTAAAACTATCCTTACATTAAGATCATTTAAGACATTTTAATATATATTCTTTGACATTTTATATACATTCATGAATACCTGTATGTAGTTTGATTTTCCTGTGCATTATTATGTAGGAAGGAGGAGTCAGTGGTTTTCTCCATGCTTTTATTGCTGAAGTGTTCGCAATGGTGAGAGCTCATGTTGCTGCATTAGGAGGGAATGCTGTCGTGTCCTACATAATGAAGCAGTGTGTCTTCATGGAGAATCCAAATAAGAACCAGGTGAGATGTAGTTAAAGATCCTGATGGAGGTCCTGCAAATTTCTCCCATGGCTTTCCTACTTTCCACTCTCCCTCCCTCGCAAGGGATTTGCTCTTTACAGAGTTCTTGATACGCAGTGCTTAGAATGTGTTCTAATGAATATATTAATAACCATAGTCATACGTAGGTCAGGTGCTGTTTCCACACCCCAGGTGACTAGTGATTATTCCTAAATACTTCTGGAAGTTTTGCTCCTAATTTACTACTCTTTCCACCATCTCGATGGGTCTTTGGAATACAGTGATAGCTGACTGAGGAGACTTAAAAATACCCTCTAGTTTGGACCATGATGCTGTTGGGTTCTAACTGCCATGCTGGTGAAGAGTACGGTCATGTTGTTGTTGTTGTTTTTATATAAGTCACATAATTCTGTTAATGGGGGTGAAGGAATGTTGCTTAGGTTAAACTATAGAATAAATTTCTTTTATCAGCTTTGTTAAGATAACTCACTTTAAATTGTTAAAGATTCCTTTAAAAATTAAATAACTATATTAATGGGTTCTTTTGAGTTTCCTTTCTTGTAAATTGCGTTCTTATCTTTTGCTCATTTTTCTCTTGAGCTGTCTTTTCCCTGATTACTTAGAAGCCTGTGCTTTTATAGCTATACAGTAGTGCCCATAATTTAACAGAAGAGTATGAGCATATTGTTGTAACTGAACATGTCCTGTTGTTCTTATAGGCACAGTGTCTTATAAATGTAAGTGGTGACGCAGTGGTTTTTGTTCGTGAATCTGAATTAGAAGTGGTATCAACCCAGCAACCCACCGCCAACTGCCAGTCGTCATGTACTGGGGGAGAAGTTACAACCTGAAGGAAATTAGAAAGAAGGAGCTCAACTAAATGAAATTCATCTGTCTCCATTGTTTCATCATTAATGATCTCACTAGACTTTTTAAAAATTGAACTTAATTTGAGATATTTAAGAAAGAATTGATACATTATGAGTAGATTTGATTTGTCTAGAATCTCTTGGAGGCATGAGAATCTTCTAATCTTGACATTTTATTTGCCAAGCCTAGATAGAAAAGCCCGGTGGAATCTCTACCTTTCAGAAAGTTAGGATTAGTTTCTCAGAGAACTGTAGCAAAGATGGGAGATATTTGTATTTATGTTGATTTTAATAAAATCATAATTTATAAATGAAGTGAGAAGATCATCAGGAAACTAGGATAGCTACCCTAGTGTAACTTAGAAAAGCTAAGCAACAAATTCGAAAATTGTTAATGACGAAATAGTCTGATTTGAGGGATGTGTGGGGTAAATGCAGTAAAGTTTACAGAAAACTATGTGGGTTTTTAGTGTGTGTGTTTTTTGTTTTTTGTTTTGTTTTTTAACAGTAGAGAAGAAAGCTTTATTAGAAGGGAAAGTACACTTCCAGACGTGGAAGTGGGCCTGAGCAAGAGAAGCATGGCTCAAAAGGCCTTTAGTGTGTTTATTTTGATGAGGAGTTTGGTCACAACTGAAAGGGAACAGTGTTTCAGCCATCTTTGAAGAAGTTAAAATTCTGCAGCTTGTAGCCATATGTCTTAGGTACTGTAAAAGAAGACATAAGTTATCAGTGCTGGTGTTCTTTCATTGAAAGGGAAGGGAAGAAATTACTATATGACTTCATAACTGGCCAAAAAATTTCAGTTGGTGCTTAATTTGTCTAGAAGAGGCTTGGCTTCAACAGAAAAGAAAAGAAAAGGTCAATGAATTTATTGAAGTAATTAAAATACAATTGATCTAGTAGGAACATAAAATTATTTTCTAATAAAATTATAATGTACTCCTTCCTACCAAACAGAATTTTAGTTAATACCATAGGGACTTTTGATGGTGAGTTAGATTGTGTTTGGCATAGAATTTGGAAATGTAACTTGAATGTAAGTATGCTGCAAAATGTTGAATGTATCCATAGAAATACTTTTTCTGTCAATGCCAAATGCCTATTATAAATGAACCTTAAAGAGTACATTCCTCCTTTGCACAATAAAATTTCTTTATAAGATTCATGGTTTTGCTCTTCCAAGATAACAAACTGCCCTAAAGATTTAGGAGTCATTTTCTTGTTATCACAGGTGTCAATATTTTTCTGTATTTTGTTTATAATTTTATTTTTTAAATAAAACGTTTATAAAGATAAACTAAAATATTCTTAAATCTCTTTTTTACCTCCTTGATGTAGTACAGTCAGTAGTCCAAAATCACTTTCCTTTTGATCATATCCATTCAGTCCTTCAGTCAGTAAACATCTGTTCTACATCTACTATATGCAAAGCCTTTTTCTTAATTTTTGGGAAAATGTATATATATAATTGTGGCACTTTTTGTCTTTGGTTGGTAGGTATTCATTCAGCTACTCTTTATTGAATTCCTACTACATCCCAGGGCATAGTTTTAGGCAGTGTACAAAACACACCTAAGTTCCTGCTCTCATGGACCTTATTTTCATGGCCTACATAAGTAAATAATTTGTAAAATGTGGTATGTAGCACTATAAAAATTGTTCATGTTTATTGAATGCTTCCTATGTGCCAGGTAGTCCTATATATTTTTATTTTTTTATTAGTTTCAAGTATACGGTACATTGGTTAGACATTTATATAGTTTATAAAACGATCCCCCTGATTGATCTTTCTCTACTCTGGCTCTACACCTAGCCTTTACATTAATGCTAACTGCATTCTCTATGCCATGCTTCCTGTCCCCATGACTCTCTATCAACTACTAATTTGTACTACTTTAACCCTTCACTGCTTTCTCCCAGCCCTTTAACCCCACGCTTCTCTGGCCCAATGAATATATTTCTGTATTAACCCTTTTAATTTTTACAGAAACGCTATGAGGTAGATACTGTTGTTAAGCCCCATTTTATAGTTGAGGCAGCTGAATCGAGAGTTTGTGTGATTCGCCCAAAGACACAGTAAGTAGTGGAGCCAAGATTCAAGCACAGGCAATCTGGCTCTGATACCTACACTATTAAGCGAAAAAATGTGTGTAAATTGGGATGAAGGTAGCTTGGTAGTTTCCCAAAGGAAGTAATAGTTAAGCTCAGTCTGGAAAAATAGGCATTTTACTGGAATTGACTATTCATAGTTTTATCCATTCATCCATCCAACAACTATTTTGTGATAGCCTAGTATGTTTCAGAGTCCTTTCTAGGCAGAGAATGATAATATACCTATCACTAATTGAGTACCTTTTTTTTTTTTTTTTTGGTAATTTTCTGTGCATATGCACTATCACTAATTCTTATAAAACTAGCTAGGTGACATTATCTCCATTTTGATATGAACAAAATTGTACACTCCACAGAGGCCCAGGCTGATTTCTAGGAAAGCTGGAGTTTCCTTAACCACTCAGGCTTGCTTTCTGTCTGCCCACATGAGCTGCCTCTGAAGCATAATCAACCCATGCCAACATTAGCTCTTTCCAGAAAAGCCAAGGTACCCTATGCCCCAGGGGCTGCTGCTGTTCCTGTGTGTGGATTCCTTCAGAAACATGATCATTTTAAATGGATGTGCTGGGACTTACTCTTTGGGAAGTACTGAGGCCACTGTACAGTATTTAGAGCATGCCTCCTATCATTCATCCTTCATTGCTGCTCCAAAGGTAAACTACACAGTTTAACCAATAACTTTGCTAGATTTGCTTCCACTTCTACTTCCTCCTCTTCCATAATCTGTTAACCATCTGGCTTCCGTCTCCTGATCTGCCCCTGAATGTAAATATGCCAAGGATACAAGTATTGGATTGCAGTATTGCAGTTATTGGGTAGCTGAGAAGCGTTTTTGTGCATATATAGTTTTTCATAAATGGGATCATACTATTTTTAAATAGAGTAGTTCTATTTTTTACCTTTTCACCTTCTATCACAGCCATCCCCAATCCATGTTAATAACCTAGTATGTATCCTTGCATATTAAAAATCTGCTAGAGGTCTAATTTACATTCAATAAAATTAATCTATTTTAAGTGTACAGTTCAAGGAGTTTTGACTGATTCAGTTGTGTAACCAAAATAACATTTTCATCACCATAAAAAAAACACATTTTCCCTTGTGTTTTTTTATGGTCTACATTTTCCCATCCCAGGAACTGGGATCTTGTGCTTGGTAACTTCCACCTAGTATAATGCTTTCTAGATGCATCCACATATGCACAACATTTTTGGCTATTATGAATAAAGCTATTTTTTGAGTTTGCACTTTCCTGTGAAAATTGAATTTCGGTTCTATTGGGTTGATTTTTTTCTTGTTGGTGATCTGCCATGTATGACAAATTTCCCCTTATTTTTTTGTCCATGTAGTTTTTCGTCGCTTTTATCATATTCAAACTTTTCATTTTTTATGGACAATATGACTATCTTAGATACTCTTAGCTAAGTTGTTCTTTCCTTTATTTTTTGGCTATTTTGATGGTTCATCAAATTTAACATGTCCTAATTTGCTCCCTATCAGATTTACTACTCTTCATTATTTCTTATTTGATAAATTCCATCACCACTAACCCAGTTTTAGCTTGAGTCAGATACTTAAGGGAAATCCAAAGCCTGTACTCTCCACTGCACCCAATGTCATGAAACAAGATGCATAAAAATGTGGAAGCATGAAAATGTATGTTGTGTGAAAGCAACGATTTACCTACAGTTTTGTAGGTTTGGGGTTTTTTTTTCCCCCCAGGGTGGGGTCTTTTACAGAGTACTTTGAGAATCTGATCTAAGCTCCGGACATTTTCCCCAGAAAAAAAACATACATGTGAAATTTTGCACACTACCTGAAGGAGTTCATTGAAACCTTTTTGTCAACCCCAGGTTAAATCTAGTATAGGATGAATGGAGGGGCATAAGGAACCAGGCCAAAGGAAACACTGGGAATGATTGGGTAAATGCTATCCTAAAAAACTGAGCCTTTCTCCATTAGGAAAGTCAAGACATTTTTCAGATTAGATTTTTAAATGTTAAAAAAAAAAAAAAATCCTAATATGACTGTGGTAGGTAAAATAATGGCCCCCCAAAAGTGTCCACAGCCTAATCCCCAGAACCTATGAATATATTACTTTTCATGACAAAAGGAACTTTGCAGATGCAATGAACATTAAAGACCTTGAGATGTGAAAATTATGCACGGTTATCTGTGAGTGACCTAGAATCTAATCATGTGAATCCTTAAAAGTGGAAGAGGCGGGTAGAAGAGTAGGTCAGAGAGATTCTGTGAGAGGTGGACTCAAGCTGCCATGGCTGGCGTTGAAGAAGGAAGTCGTGTGTGCCAAGGTGAGGAATGTAGGTGCCCTCTAGATGCTAGGTACAGCCCCCAGCTGACAGCCAGCGAGGAAAAGGGATTCTGTATTATGACCACCAGGGACTGAATTTCCAACAACTTAAATGGGCAAGAAAACAGATTCTCCCCTAGAGCCTCTAGAAAGGAACAGAGCCCTGCCAACAGCTTGATTTCAGTCTTGCGAGACCCCTATCAGATCTCCGCCCAATAGAACTGTAAGATAATGAACTTGTTTAAGCCACTAAGTTTGTGGTAATTTGTTATGGTAGCAACAGAAAACATACAAATTTTTATAAATTTAACCTCTAGAGATAAAGTTACCATATAGTTATGCTATTTATGATAACAACTGGTATGAAATGCTTTACAAACTCAGGGTATAAGTACAGTCACATCTTTTATTTTCCCAATTAGTTTTTTGAATACCCACTTGAATAATTAGCAGAAATCCAGAATCTCCTGCTCTTGATGTGATCTCCACTTAGAATTGTCCAACCACTCTGGGGCTCAATGAAGTCCCCAAAAATTTAAGTATAGTTTCCACACTCAAGCTGTGCCAGTACAGAAACCTCTTTGGTACACTGTTGCATTTGCTTCCCACTGCCACATAGTGTCGCTGTTGGAATGGGTTCCACGAGATAGAACAGAAGCTGCTGGTCTACAGTGATGATGGCAAATTGACCAAGACTTCTACACGGGTTTCCAAGACGCTTTAGCAGGTAGTCTTATTTCCTCCGTGACTACTCCATCCAAGGAAGCTTGATGAGTGTCAGGTACTAGTGCTCAAACCTACTGTCTATTGAATTGCCGATTGCAAGTGTTATTCATGGGTTTACAACTTAAACACACACACACACACACACACACTTCTAATTTTTCCAAATAAATTTTAGAGTAGCTTGTTGATTTATATGTATGTATATATATAATTTTTATATATAAAAATCCTGGTTTTTTTTTATTGAGGTTGTATTGAAACTATAGTTTAGGAAGAATTCACAGGTTAATATTGAGACTTCCAATTGATAAATACATTATTTCTCCTTATTTAGGTCTTGTTTGATTTCCCTCAATAATATTTCGTAGTTTTCAGTACACAAACTTGAACATTTGGGGGATTACAAAGCTTTACACTTGAGTACTTCATGCTTTTTAAAAAATTTTATTTTAATTAGTTTTAAGGATACAGTATATTAGTTAGACATCTATATAGTTCGTAAAACAATCTCCCCAATTGCTCCCACGCTTCCTTGACCCTCTACCTAGCCAATGTATTAATGCTTACTGCATTCCCTATGCTGTGCTCCCTATTCCCGTGACCATCCCTCAGCTACTAATTTGTAGTTCTTTTACCTTTCACCCCATTCTCCCAGCCCCCCAAACCCTCCTCCCCTCTGTCCATCACCAAATTGTTCACTATATTTGTCAGTCTATTTTTGATTAGTTTGTTCTTTTTATTCCTTAGATTCTGCATATAAGTGAAACCATATAGCATTTATCTTTCTCTGACTTAAATACCTTCTAGGTCTATCAAAGCAATATATTTTTCCATCCTCTTCCTTTCAGTCTATATGTGTCTTTTAATCTGAAGTGTGTCTTTTGTAGGCAGCGTATTGTAGGAGTCTTGTTTTCTTATCTTTTCAGTCACTCTATCTTTCGGTTGGAGCACTTAATTCTTTTCCATTTAAGGTACTTATTGATAGAAATATAGTTGTTACCATTCTTTATTCCTGTTTTTGATACATATTTTTTCTTCTTAAAGAAGTCTCTGAAACATTTCCTGTAATACTGGCTTAGTGGTGATAAATTCCTTTAGCTTATTTTTGTCTGGGAAGCTTTTTATCTGTTCTTCAACTCTAAATGATA